TTTTCTAAAAACAATGAAAAATATGCATTTATAATTATTCAAGTTTACTTTATTAAATGTTATGGGTAATATGGTAAAAGTGTATATTTACTTTTGGTAGTGGACAATAATTTTGGGACAAACTAAAATGATAAGGTGGACAATAATTTTGGGACGGAGGGAGTATATGGATTCAATAAAATGAAAAAAAACACCACAAAATGTCATTGTCATGTGGAAAAACTTTAATTGAAAATAACTACAAAATGACATGTGGCCAAATCATTAAAAACGTTACATGTAGCAAAAGATTTTCATTTATTAGAATAGAATAATAGATTTTGACCTTCTAAATCAACGTTTTCACATTAGATTTTTCTTATTTTGTTATATATTAATAGTTAATCAGAATCATTAAATATAGATTATTAAATATTTATTTTATTTTTATATAATAATGCTACACGGGACTTAAACCCTAATTTTGTAGAGAAATGTCATTTTAATAGTCATGCCATGTTGGTTTGTATTTTACTTAGTGGGATAGTGTGTATTACAATGGGCATGACTTTTTGTTTTATTTTAATTAATACCGTATAATTTTACTATGTCACGTGGGCTATTTATGTAATTATTTAGCAATAAAGTTATAAAAAAAAATGTTTAACTTTAGCTAGTCGGTGGATTGGAGTTAAGATATTAATTGACTAAAGATTAAAAATACGATTTACTCTGTTAAGCTGTGTTGCAAAAAATCCCGACTATGACCCAATTAATCTTCGATTAGAATGCGCCTAATGATTAATCCATGCCTACACAATGAACGAAACAATACTAAACGATAAAATTATATCAATTTAAAAAAGTTTTATCTCAATAGAAACTATTTGAGGAATGTTTATTGTTGTATTAATCTATTTTGTTATGATATTAGTGGTATTTACGAACTTTGTTATGACATTAGTCATATTTAACTTTTTAAAATCAAAGAAATAACAATTTAGGGTCCTGATTAATCCATGCCTATGGTTTTATGATTTTTCTGAATCCGATCAAATTTTCAATTGCAATGTTGACTATCCTTCTCGGCTATCCTTCTTGGGTTGATTTTATTTTGGTTTTGATCTCTAAAAGAATCAAATGGTTAAAGAGAAAAGTAAATAGTTTCTATGGTTTGTACTTTTCTTTTATTAAAGTCTAAAAAAGTTTCAATATCAAAAATACTCTTTTTGGCTTAGTTTGGTTATAGATTTGATCCCTAAAACTAATATCCATTAGTTAAAATATTTTAGGTTTGATAAAATGAATCTATCACCCATTTATTTTGTATTTTCTATTAATCTTTTTTATTTATTTGTTACTTTCTCCGATCCAATTTATCAAATTGCCATCATTTCTTGATCGCCTATCTCTCATGAATATCTTCTTGTGTTCTCACAAGTTAAAAATTCGAATGTGAGAAGCATAAACAAAAGCTTATACAAATTTTGATTATGCAAAAGCTTCGATCAAACAAAATTTCAAATGTGAGAAGCATAAACGAAATCAAAACCTAATCGATTTAGTAATCATAACGTAGTCGATTCAGAAATTAGGACCTAACCGAGAATGAGAAACAATAAAAAAATAAAAAAACAAAATTAAAATATCAGAAGCATTGATCAAACCTTATAATCAATTTCTAAAATCAGAGTGTGAGAGAGAAATAATCGATTCAGAAATGTGTGATTCGATCGAGATTGAGAAGCAATGATTCGTGAGTGAATCTGTTGATATTCGAGAGTTAAGAAATGAGGAGTAGAGAAAAGGAATGAAGGAAGGTGATATTATGGGAACATGGTCGTAGCACTATAAGAGCAAGAGAGAACTGAGAGTGATGAAGTCTTTAGATGTTGATTCACGAGCCGATCTAATATGTATTTTCGATCCATGACTCACGAGGACGCCTATTTGGTTTCCGCCTATGTGGAATTGTCGCTTTGTGAAAGACACCCTAATTCTTATTGGTTTGGCTTACACTTTCTTTGTTTCCACTTCTCAGACGCGTTCCAGATTTCCAGCATCTAAAGGGGCATTTTGAGATTGGTTTTTAAACTCTAAAAGTGTATTTTTTTTTGGCAAAAATGCTTATTGATTTATGAGGATGACAAACAAAGTTTTTTAAAAAAGTGTTTAAATTACTTTTTATGGTGACAAAAGTGAATAAGTCAATAAATTGTTTTTTTTTCAATGTTTGAGTTAGCTTATATATGTAAAATGAACAAAAAGGGTTAGATAGATAAGTTAAGTGAAAGGTATTTTGGTAAATTGAAATAAAAAAAGCCAAAAGCAGTTTTAACAAGTTAGGTTGGAGATGAATGTTAATTACTTAATTTAATCATTATTTGGATTCCATAAAGTAAACAAGAGCACAACTTTTTTTTTTTTTTCCCTTTTCTTACTTTTACATTTTCCATCCAACAAGAAGAAAGTTTTACATAAACGTAGCGGGTAAACGAGCAACAAGCTGTGCCGCAACCCCTTTTTGGATGGCAAAACTAATTTTTTTAAAAACATCTATAGATCTTGGAGTCATAACATTACTATGCATGACCCGTTGGACTCTATTGAGTAGCTCCACAACTTCTGGCGTAAGGAAACCGAAAGTATCAAATGCAAAATGTATAAACGTGTGTTGATTTTCCATGCACGCTTTCTCATGTTTTGCCACTTTGCTTGATGCAGCTTTTAAAGCAGCTTGCCCCACAGAGAAAACCCCACTCCCCAAGCCCACAAGAGGAGAAACCCCCGTTAGATCCACACATGTATGTTTTCCTCCAGCCCATCCAAATACTAAAACATCAGCTGGTCTAAGTGTTGATCTTCCTTCCAATGGGTCAGTCAGAAAATTCACAGGTGCCTCTTTCTTGGCAGAAACCCCAACACGCCTAAATATGTCGAAAAGAACATCCCTAACCAGATTGTGTCGGTACTTGAAACCCGGGAACTCTTTACAATGAACTGCATGCTCCCCAAAGGAGTCCAAGCATACCTTACGACAAACAGGGCACGTCTCGTCAGCCGGAAATAAAGGGATCATAAGGCGATACTTGAGGATGACACGATACTCCACTTGCGACATATGCTGCAAGACCGTCAATAAGAATAGTCATAAAAAAATCCTGAGCATGTGGGGCCCTTAGACACTCAAAAATTGCTTTCTGCTTAATCGTTATGTCGAAGTGAACTTCCATGTCTTGGACAATTTTACTAAAAAGGGCACTCGCCAGTGAATGTTGGGCTTTTGGAGGGGCGGTGTCCTTATTAGTGAAACCGTTGAAATCAAAGCCCGAAATCGTATCACGAAGACAGGCCAAAGCACAAACATAATCTAAATTCATCCCACATATGCCACTATTTCGTAAGATGTGGTCTTGTAACACCCACGATTGAGCTCGTGAGGCCACAAAAGCATAGGAGGAAGCCTCTACTGCTGAGAACAGCCCCAATCCACCGAGCTTAATTGGTAACGAAGTCAGTCGTCATTGAAGGTCCCCAAAGAACGGACCCCCGCAAACCACAATGTCCTCAATCGACCCACATAACCCTTTATCAAAACACAAAGCAACTTCTTCCATGTGAACGGGTTGACACGTTCTCAGGCCAAACTTTTGGAAAGCTCATTTTTGAAAAGCTCATTTTTGAGGTGTATTGAAAAACTATTTTGGAAAGTATTTTGTGAGATTGTCAAACTTTTTTTTAGCTTATTGGTTTCAAAAGTCAATTAGTTGTTTTTAAGAAGAAAAAAAACATGCGTACAGTGTCCATTTTTTTGGGATGATTTGAAGTTGGACTAACTTGGGCCTCTAAGAGGCATCGACTAAATCATCCAGGTGAGTAACAGTCATGAGTATAAAATTTATTTATAATGCATATGTGTATTTTAGGTAACGATGAAAAACTATACTATTTAATACGGGTAACGGACTAACGGTAAGAGGTATGCAGTAATAGCATGGTTCTAAAAAACGCGCCATGACGCGCCTCAAGGCGTGCCATGGCGCGAGGCGTGGTGTAGCCGTTACGAAAATGTCCAAACCGAGTTTGTTAAGCGTGACGCCCAAATAACGTGTCAAGGCGCGCCTTATCGCGATATGACGCGAGTTTTTTTTTTTTTTTTTTTTTTTGATTTTTTTTATCGGACCTAAAATAATTGAGTTTTTGTTAACTTTTTATATTAAATAATAATATAACACTTCTAAAAACTTGATATACTTGATAAAAATCAATAATTATATGATTTATCTCTTTTAATATATATATAAAATAGTCACGCCTTGAAAAATGTCATGGCTCGCCAAAGCTTGTCATGGCTTAACTTTTACCTTGCCGCTAAGCCACGCCTCACGTTATTTAGAACCTTGAGTAATAGTCTAAATTTGTACCGGTCACTGATTTATGTTGTGAGTAGCCTATGTGTAGATACCGGTCTATTATTTGTGCTTTGTAAAATCACAGGCTGAAGTATGAGCGTTATTAAGATATGTCTTTTTCTCTATACAAAGTGTATGAGATATAATCTCAAACTCAAATAGGAGTGTTACTGAGATATGTATTTTGCTCAAGAAGTGATTATGAGATATGTTTTGTGCTCAAGTAGGAGCTAAAGTATTATGAAAAATAATTAACTCATGTAAAAGCTATTATAGAGTATAATAATGAAGAGTTCTAAATATATAAAGAGATGAATATCATGAAACTCCACTTAATATTGGGAGCTACATTCTGTTGTGATATTTAAAAGGTTTTGTTTAATCATGAATCTTTTATTCAATATAATTTGGACTAATGGTAAGATATATTGAATTAGTCGAGTTAGTTGGACAGGTAGGATAAGGTTATATGCATTATGTTACATTGCATTCGTGTTGTATATTGTAGCGTCTTATTTACTAGAAGTTATTGTGATTATTATACCATTTGTTATCTAGAAATCATATGATTTTCTAGTAATTAGTCTACTAGAAATTATACTATTTAAGATGGATAACGTTAAGAGGTATGTAAATATTTTAAGCTAAATGCTTCTTGTTGATTTTTAGGCAAGTGTCAAAGTAGTTCTTGTTTAGAGGTAAGTATTTGTAGTGTCCATTGGGTTGCAAGTTGTGTAGTATTGTTGAGAGTTTTGAACATAGTTAGATGTATACATTTTGTTTATGGTATGGATTTGTTGGATATTGTATATGTAATATTACACAAAGGTGAATAAATGTGTCGAGACATGGGCCACTTTCTCCAATATATATATATATATATATATATATATATATATATATATATATATATATATATATATATATATATATATCACACAAACGTTTTGCCAAAATTTCTGTAGAAATGTTAAAATATTTTTTCTCTTGGTATGTTATATAGAAAACGCATTTTTAATTTATTATGTTTTGATACAACATTAGTTACCAAGCACATTTTTTTGAAACTTACTGCTTAAATTAACAAACACTTTAAATAAATACATGCTATTTTAAATAAACAATTCCAAACACCTAAATTCATCACAATAAAAAAAAATCACTTAGTTTAGTTTTATAGGCTCAATACCCAAACAACAAAATAAGTTTTACGGTTTAAGTTTAGTTTACACCCACATTTAATTCAATTTCTAATTTGATCACCAAAGTCACAAATCACTAATAAAAACACTTGAATTAAACTTCCAAATTTACAGTTTATTACAAAAGATACAAACCACGTTGTTCTATATGACCCAAAATCAAAAATTCAAACTTCTAGTGAAGCTTAAATTCTGGCCCAAATCCTAATATGAAGATGAGCTAGCCCAATTGTTCATGTTGTTAAAGGCTTAAGGTCGTAAATTTTTGGGGTTGAACCTTTTTGGTTTTTAATTTCAAAAATATTTTATCCTCTTTTGGTTTTCCAATTGCAGTTTCAAGAAACAAGAAGCTTCAACTGCAATGGCTTCGGTTGCTGCTTCAGTTTCATCTTGTTTCCATGGAGAAAACTTGTCCTCTTCATGTTCTTCTCTTTTCTCAAGGGCTACGCTCGCCTTCTCCCCATCAATCTCCGGTAACTTACACAATAACTACTACTTGCATATCTGATATCTCTACTCAATCTTGTACTGTGTTTCTTTTCTTCTTCAATCCGAAACTAATCATACGTTTTTGTGCTTTTCCTTTAATGAATTCCACCATAACCCTTCCTATGATAATGTCGAATTCTTTCAAAATTTGAAAGGAAACTAACTGATTAAGCATAGCGTAGTTGGAATCTGTTTGCATTAAATGAGACCTAATTTCATGTTTGAAATCCCCTTAATCAAATGTTTTGGCTGTATGATTCGCAATTTCAGGTAACGATTTCAACGGTAGAAAACGATTCATGGTTTTGGCGAAGAGATTATCAGGATTAGAGGAAGCCATGAGAATACGAAGGGCACGTGAGCAACAAACTTCAACACCAATTAAACGAAGAACACCTTTAAGGCGACTAAAGGTATCACCACGTCTTCCTGTTCCTGATCACATACTGAAGCCTCCTTACGTAAGCACAAAATTGTTACCAGAGATTTCAAGTGAGTTCCAAATTCACGATGAAGAAGGCATTGCTCGCATGAGAGCTGCTTGTGAGCTCGCTGCTAGGGTTCTTGAGCACGCTGGAACTTTAGTTAGGGTAAGAACTTGAACTTAACCTAATCTTCATATCCACTTCAAATAATCTTCAAATTCATGAAATTCTGTAATCTACCAGCCATCAGTGACAACTAACGAGATTGATAAAGCAGTTCACCAAATGATTATAGACAATGGTGCTTACCCTTCACCTCTTGGCTATGGCGGATTCCCAAAAAGTGTTTGCACTTCAGTTAATGAGTGTATGTGTCATGGAATACCTGATTCCCGTCAATTGCTGGTTCCATTCCATCCTTTAGCACATATTGTTCTTCATATTGTTCTTCAATACACATTGGCTTATAGTTATAGACTTAATAGGTATTATCTCTTTTATGCAGGATGGAGATATTATAAATATTGATGTCACAGTTTACTTAAATGTAAGATTATCATATTTTTTTTTTTTTTTTGTTATAGAAATATTATATGTTTTTGATGTATCTTTTTTATTAGGGTTATCATGGTGATACCTCAAAGACATTTTTATGTGGAAATGTTGATGAAGCCACAAAACGACTTGTGAAGGTACACCTCACATTAAAATTGATAAAGATTATTAGAATTAATGGAATTTTTATTTTTATTTTTTAGTTTTTTCAATTTCATTTCTCCATTGATGACAGGTTACTGAAGAGTGCTTGGAGAGAGGCATTTCTGTTTGCAAAGATGGTGCTCTTTTTAGAAAAATTGGGAAAAGAATTAGGTAATTACTTTAAATGTATATAAAACAAATAGTATAATTTTTTTTTTTTTATAAAATTTAGTTTTACATGATTCTCACAGTGAACATGCGGAAAAATTTGGCTATGGTGTTGTGGAGCGTTTTGTGGGACATGGTGTGGGAACTGTATTTCATTCAGAGCCACTTATATTTCATCACCGTATGTTATTTTTATTTTTTTATTTTATTTATTTTTCTAAAACCTAACCATGTATTTTTTATATTTTTGAAACTATGGTTTATTTTTTTATGTAGGAAATGAGAAGCCTGGTAGCATGGTTGAAGGCCAAACATTTACTATTGGTAATTAATTAATTGATTGATTCTGATGAAAAATAAAGATTAATAAAAAAATTTGGAATTAAGGAAAGTATGTTGTTATTTTGTGTAGAACCAATTCTTACACTTGGAAGAACAGAGTGTGTTACATGGGAAGATAATTGGACTACCTTAACAAAGGATGGAAGCCCTGCAGCTCAATTTGAGCACACTATTTTAATCACAAGAACTGGTGCGGAAATCTTGACAAAGTGTTAGAAGATTTTGACATGATTTTGTTAATTAATGTTTTTGTATAAGTTAAGTTATATATATATATATATATATATATATATATATATATATATATATATATATATATATATATATATATATATCATACATTCAATATGTTTTATATTGTGGGTCTAAATTTGGTAGGTATTTCCAAATCACCAGAAATAGAAATTGATTGGAAATTGCTGAATTTAAAAAGCTAACTAATTACGTGATTAATGAAATCGCGTGGTTTTACAGTTTAAATAGAATGATTAAAAATAGGAAATGAGGTAAATTTGGGGAAAATTTAAAATTAAGTGCCAAGTGTCGAAATAATTATAAAGAGAGGAGAGGATTTAGAGCTTCCATTAGTGGATCTCTCAAATACAATTGCAATGCCTTGCCAGGTGTCAAATTTTTTGCAAATCACCTTCCAAACAGTATAAATGTCTTCATTTTGTGGTTTACTAACTAGGATAGGCATCAAAGGAACAATACATCCTGGATGCGGTTAGGTATCGGTTTCCCTGCGTACGGAGTTTCCACTCGCTCTCTTTTTCTCAACTTTGTTATTTATTTTTTTCTTTTTCAGTTTTTATTAAATTATATATATTAAAAAATTATAAAAAAATATAAAATTTTTGGTTTTTATTTCACTACAAAAAAGTATATATTTTGTATAAAATATATATTTAAAAAAAAAGGGACGTGGAATGAAAGGTGATCATTTATTGGATTTTGAAGAGTGAAAGAATAGTAGGGGGAAAATAAGATGACAACTCAGAACAAATGAATATGAAATAAGAGTATACATTAGGCCTTAGAGAGATCTTTCTATATATAAGGCTATATATAAGGCTGTTGTGTTTGGTATCTCATTTTACTATATTTTTGTCTTGTGTCACATCATTTTCTTTTCATCCTCTGCTTAATTTACAAAAAGGGAAATCTGTAGAAAAATCCTAAAATTTTACCCTAATTTACGAAAAAGTCAAAAACTAAAATTTGTTTAAGAAAAAACATGAATTACCGGTAAAAATGACGATTTGACCCATTTTTCATGGTTTATCGGTTTCATTATTTACCTGTTTTATTAAAGTCTCATTATTTTACCTTAATCTACGAATAAGTCCCAAACTAAAATTTGGTGATGATTTAGCCTTTTTTTCCATGCAATATACATTTTATCGGTTTCATTGTTGATTTAGACACCTAGTCATTAAATTTGCTGATAAGATGGATAAGATGGGTTATATAATGCTACATTTACTGTAAAATTTGATATTTATCTCATCGGATCATTTATGACTATGTATCTAGGTCAACAATGAAACCAATAAAATGTGTATTTCCAGGAAAAAAATGGTAGAAAATGAGTTAATGTTTGATGAGATGAATATATTGAGTTACATAAGGTTAGATAGACAATTTGAAATTTCTTACAAACATAAAAAATGACGCAGTTGTTGCTAGTTTATGTAATTATTGCAGTCTTCGTTGGATGCATTTTATACTCCAAGAAAATGTACAGTATATCAAGATATCAAATTTTATGGTAAACATAGTATTATATAACCCAACATATCCATCTCATTAACTCATTTAATGACTAGACGTCCAAGTCAGCAATGAAACCAGTAAAATATATGTTACATGCAAAAAATGGCTAAATCATCATTAAATTTTAGTTTGAGACTTATTCGTAAATTATGATAAAATAATAGAACTTTAATGAAACAGGTAAGTAATGAAACCGGTAAACCGGGAAATTTGGGTTAAATCGTCAATTTTACTGGTAATTCATGTTTTTTCGTAAATAAATTTTAGTTTGAGACATTTTCGTAAATTAGGGTAAAATTTTAGGAATTTTCTGAAGATTTCCCTTCAAAAAAATGATAGGAAATTGTACAATACCTCACCATATTTTTTTTAAAAAGTAATTTAATAATTATATAAATATTTAAAATACATATTTATAATAATAATAAGAGAAATATTACATTAATTTAATTAGAAACGATTACATACCTAAAAACGAAAATTAAATAAAAACACTAAACATTAGTCTGGTTGAAATATTTTTTCATAATTTCCTCTCTAGTTCTCAAAACCATCTCGAGCTCGTTTCAGGTGAGAGTGTTTTGTTTTTCTTCTCGGGGTTTTTGCTTCTCTTCTTGTCCAATTTCTCCATTTCGAATTGCAAAAGAGTTTTGAAATTCAAATTATAAAGTTTATTTTCCACCTTCCGCACGTCATCTCTTCTTTTGACTCGCGATGCATTAGACGAAAACCTTCTCTTTTTCGCCTTATCTTAACCTATCGCGCGGACTACCTCTTCGAGTTCGAGCTCATCCTCTCCGTTGAAATCAACCCAAAAATGACCATCCGATGAAGTAGTGTCACATGTCTCGAAAACTTTGGTTCTTTTCGAACCCCCTTCTTTGCTACCATATTCTTTTACTCATTTTGGGGACGTGGCTAAAAATTTCCAAACATCGATAAATTTGAATGACCTCCTATTGTTATCAATTTGAAAATTTTAAAACGTCGTCTCGAAAATAGTTATATCCCTTTCTCCGCTTTTTCGTTGAGTTAGCAAGTTGTTGTACGTCCCGTTTAATTCTGTAATTATTTTATCATTTCGCGAAACTTGCTAGTACATTGGTCTTTTGTACGATACTCGTCACAACCCAAAATGATGTGTAATCGCTTTGTAATGCGTCACCAAAAATGATCTTCTTTTTACGTATTTTCAGTTACGGGATCCTCCAAAATATTGACTCATGATTCCGCTAATTGTTTCACTTTTTCCGGTGACCATTGTTGAGCGACCACTTTTTCTTTTCTAACTGTTGCTTTTTCCTTTTCTTATTCTCGTCTTTTGGGGTTGGATGGTTCCGTTTGGGTTTCCTAAATAAATTCGGGTTTCGGTTCCGGTTTGGTTCCCGAACAAATTCGAATTCTGGTGTTGGGGTTGGCTTCCTTGAACGTACTCGGAGAGAGGAGAAAATTTTATAATAATGTTGGGTTAAGGGATTGCATAGTGTAATATTGTTGTGGTTTATGTTGGTAGTGAAAGTGTTGGGGTTGGGGTCGTGGTTGGGGAGAAATTATAAAGACATCAAGTTATGGTCGATAAACCGACGGATCCAAAGGAATAACATTTACAATCGGTTTTCTTGGACCACTAGCATGCGATTTTTTTTACCGGAGGGTTGTTTGGATTCATTTTTTAAAGTATAAAAAATTATGTTTGTATGAATTCAATGTATTGTGGTGGTGTAAAACGTTTGATATGGAGTATGGTATTTACTCTTTAAAAAAACAAGAATATATATTAAATTTAAATACTAGAAATTATTGATCATTGCCAACATATCCGTTGGTTTTTTTGTAAGGTATCTGAGCCTTGTGTGGCGACTCCATGGCATCATCTGTAGTACCACTATTAGACGTGAAAGTGCACAACTTAGGTGTTGTTTGTTTTTTGTAAAAAACATCTTCAGACATCTTATTGCTGCGCGACACAACACACGCGCAACACGTTTCATATCGCAACTGTTTTGTTTTTTAGAAGTCTTCAGAGTGAAAATCCTCTATGCGTGTTCTGTTTCGGGCAGCACTTGTATTGTCTCTTCCAACCTCTTTTTTTTTTCTTGCTGAAATCTTTGATTATATGTTGCTGAATTCTTGTTTCACATTTTTTTTGTTTATTCTTGCTGAATTATTATTTTCATTTATTTTTATATTGAATAATGATAATTTCTTGCTGAAATATATTTTTATTTTGTTGAAATATCATTATTTTTTTTTGTTGAAATATCATAAATTCTTGCTGAAATGTCATACATTATTAAATTTCCGGTATTAAAAAACTATTTCTGGTATATAAAATCAGTTTATTTTAATTTTTTAACATTTGCATCGACATGCAGATGTTAAAAAACAAACACGCTTCTTATTATAGTCTGCAGCCGTTTGGTCCACCTCTTATTCTGCAGAGGGTTGTAGAGGTGGTCTGCAGACTTCATAAATTTTTTGCTTTAAAAAAACAAACAGCACCTTAGTGCACAGACAAGGTTTGAAAACTCAAACTTTGAATTAACTGAAGATCAATGTCTGCTGCTAATATATAGGTCAAGTCAAGTATGGTAAAACCAGTCTTGTCTCGAAGTAAGAAGATCAAAAAAGTATTCAACAAAATATTCAAGTAAGATAAAATGAGTATGAACTAAGTAAAGATAACTAAAGAACAATGAGAATGATGGAGAAAAAGATTTGACTTGCAAGATACTTAGTATTTTATGTGAAAGAGAATATTGCTTCAAAAGGTTATAATGCATGGAAAACTCATCTCCTTAAATAGCCAACGAGTGACAAAAAGACAAAATACAAGACGTACATGGAGAATGTAAACCTGAGAAGTCAAAAAGCTGACACACAAGATTTACTCGATTTTGTCCCATGAAGTGTATAATCAAATAAGTACCAAATGACAAGAAGCATTAAATGCTTGTACATACTCAATAACACTGAAAACTAGGAATGTCTCGGATAAGTCTTCATCTCGGAAGAAGCTTGACTTCGGAACCCTTCACATTTCGGAATGCACTTGGACTTCGGTTCTGGTTTGGCTTTGGATTGCTAGAGGTTCGCTTTCATGTAACAACAATCTCCCCTTAAGTGAACTTAGCAATCAAACAAATCCTTACTTTGCATCATCAAACACAAAGAGATAGGCACTTTGGAGCCAACTTCAGACTTCTAAGTACCACATGAGATGTTCGATGAACTTCTTCTTGACATGCTCAGGAGAATCACTTTTTGTAGCATTGAAAACGAACTTCTAAAGGATCTTTGTCTATGACATCCCTATTTTTACGGCAAAAAAAGTCCGATTTGTTTATGCTTTATTTGAAAATCAGAGTATATTTTTTTTAGAAATATGTTGTGGAATTTGTTCCCAGAAAAACTTGATAAATATGTTATCAAGGCATTTCCGAATCCACTTTGAGTG